GGGTGAGTGGGGTGGGAAAAAATGGGCTCTCCAGACAAGCTGTTTATCCCCGGCCCCAGGAAGGGTGAATTGAAAGCCTTTGGCCAAGAGAACAGAGTTGTGCAGATGACAAAGGACTTGGGCCACTTGTTGCCTTACACACTGGACCTGGCTTATTGTGGTGGATTCCTGGGTTAGGAGTTGTAACTGAGACTTGGGCCTCAGTTTCTTTCCTCTGCAAGATAAGAGAGCTTAACTAGATGATCACTGGGTCCCTTCTATCTGTAATGTTTCTTTATTGTGACATACCCAGCGTAATCCCCGAATCACTAATCTTTGCAGAAAACACATCTCTGAATGCGTTGTATTTCAAGACCATAGGCACATGGACACTGGGTCTTTTTTGGCATAAGTGATCTTTAAAAATGCTCTTCCACCCTTATTATCCGTATTTTAAAAATTAGTTGTTTGAGCTTCTGGTTTTGATTTAGGGGTCTTTTTTTAGGGAGGTAGTGGTGATATTCTCCCTACAGACTTACCTCCATGCAACTAGGCAACTTGAGACCCCTGGTGGCTCAGTGGACCTGGAGGCAGGAAGGCCTGTGTTCAGATCCGGGCTCAGACACTTACTAGCTGTATGATGCTGGATGAGTCATTTAATCTCTAACACTTAAACCCTTTCTCAGTTTGTTCAGCTGTAAAATGAGAACAGTAACTTCACGTATCTCACAGGGTTGTTGTGAGGGTCAAATGAGATGATCATTGTAAAGCACTTAGCACAGTGCTTTATATATAGTAAGTGCTTAATATAAGCTTATTTCTTTCTCCTCTCCCATGCTGCTCCCATACCTTTGGAAGGAATTGCTGAAAAGTTTTGTTATTGAAACTTGTTGATGGTGGGAGTGGTGGATAGCCAGTCCAGGAAACTAGCACCTCAGCTTGCATCTCGCTCCAATTAATCAGTCATTAAGCATTTGTTAAGTGCCTGCTATGTGCCAGGAATGAAATGATCCTAGTCTTCAAGGGCTTTTTTTGGGGGGCGGTGTGCCTTAATCTTCACTCTGGATGGAATGAAACCAGTGACCTTCTGTTTCTCCCAGAGATGTTGCTGGAGCCAGAGGGCCTGAAAGTCTTCAGGTGGGACTCACTTTTGTTGTGGTGGTCCGTTGTTTTCAGTCACGTCTGACTCTTCATGACCCCACTTGGGTTTTCTTGGCAGGGATATTGGAGTAGTTTGCCATTTCCTTCTCCAGCTCCTTTGGCAGAAGAGGCAAACTGAGGGTGAACACGAGGAAGGGATAACACTGATAAGAGTGGGGTTGGATCTGGTGTCTTTGCTGCCTTCTTTTACTTGTTATCCATTGTCCCCTCTACTGATTGCAGTGAGGCTTCTACTGTTCTATTGAATCTCTTCTCTTAGAGGTCACCAGTGATGGCCTCTTTCTTTAGTTCTTGTGCTTGGCGATCTCTTTGTAGCTTTTCACATTCTTGACCACCCTCTCCTACTAGATACTCTGCCTGCCTTTGGTTTCAGTCATGCCATCCTCTGCTAGTTCTTCCTCGTCTTCCTGACCCCTTAACATGAGTGCTTCCTGAGATTCTGTCCTCAGCCCACTTCTCTGTCTCTCTGTCTCTGTCTCTCTGTCTCTCTCTCTCTGTCTCTCTCTCTCTCTCTCTCTCTCTCTCTCTCTCTCTCTCTCTCTCTCTCTCTCTCTCTCTCTCTCTCTCTCCATGTTTGCCTTTGGTAATATCCTTCACTCTGCAGCATCAGCTATTATCTTTGGACAACAGATCTGTATCCCCAACCCTGACTTCTCCTGGGCTCCAGATCTCCGTCTCCTGAAGGACATTTTCACCCGGATGTCTGAACACCACCTTGGTGTATCCAAAACTGAGTTTACTCTCTTTCCCTCAAAATCTATTCCTCTTGTTGATTTCATGATTTCTGTCAAATAGTGACCATTTACCCAGTCTTTCCACATTTTTGCATTCTTTTTGACTCTGCTGAGCTTCACCCCTCATGTCCAATGAGGTGTCACGTCCTATCAGTTGCACCTCAACATCTCCCTTTTTCTCCCCTTTTCTTTCTCCCTGTTTCTCTATTCCTATGGCTACTGTTCCAGTACAGTTCCTCTTTACCATCCAATATGGACCATCTGTAGATGTCTCTTAATAAGTCTCCTAGTCTTTACTTTCTCCCACTTCAAATACATCCTTTCTGCCACTGCCAAGGGTAATCTTTCTTAGGCATCAGTTCAATCCTAAAATTTTTCTGCTCGAGTATCTTTTTTGTTTATAGAGTAGAGCCTCCTGTCTAGCATTCAAGGCCCTCTACAGTCTGATTCTGTTCTGCCATCTTAACTTCCTCTGGCTTCATGATGGTGGACATGGACAGGTCTCACCGAATGTGCAGGCCTGTGTTGGTCTGTATTGGCAGAAATACCCACATAGATGAGATCATAGCTCCATCAGTATTCTCCAGTACTCAGTGCTCAGCCAAATCAGATACCTTTCTACTCTGCACGTTAGTATTATATCCTCTCATTCCCATGCCTTTGTTTACAATATTCTCTATCCCTGGAATGTCCTTCCTCCCCTCCTTGAGCTGTCTTACTGCTACGTGTCTTTTAAAGCCCAAATGCTACATTCTCCATGAAGATCATTGGGTTAATTGTCCATTCCTACCTCAGACTTCATGTAGCATCGTTATCATCATCATCATCAGCAGCAGCAGCAGCAGCTCTGTATGGTTACTATGCATCAAGCATTTTCTAAGCATTTCAATTATTATCTCATCTGATCTTCAAAACAACCCTGGGAGGTAGATACTATTATTATCCCTATTTTATAGATGAGGAAACCAAGGCAAACAGAAGTTAAGTGACTTGCCCAGGGTCTGAAGTCAAATTTGACCTCAGGTCTTCCTGAATCCAGGCCTGGTATTCTATTCTCTGTGCCACCAGTTACTTCTGTTTTATGTGTTTATCACTTGATTCTATGTGTTATAGCTACCCACGTTTGTGTCTTAACCCCCTACTAGAACATGAACTCTGGGATGGCAAAGGCAATGTCTTGTCTACCCCACACACTTAACACTTTGCTCTGCACACTGTAGGTGATTAGTACGTGTTTCCAGATGAATGGATGAGTACCTCCATTGCGGGAATCAAAAAGAAATAGGATTCAGATTCAACTAATCAAGTATTTGTTAATACTTGGTTATTAATACCTAATAATTAATATTAATACATAATAATGACTACTGTGTGCCAGGTGGTCTGCGCTAGGTTCTGGAAACACAAGTACAAAGAATGAAATATTCCTACTCTCAATGAGCTTATGTTTTAATGAAGGAGACACCAAATGCCCATGTCAATATGGAAAGCATAAATATAAAATAAAGAAATACAGATTACATATTGGATAGATGTATAAATACATATATGTATATATACACACATGTATCTTTATACACTGCACATGCACATATAGTAGTTAAATGTAAGGTGGTTTTGGAAGGAGAGTCCTAGCAAAGTTAAGAGGGGCTCTGGAAAGGCTGCATGGTTCTTGAGCTGCAGGGAGAGAAGGACTAGATAAGGCAGAGGCAGGGAAAGAGCATGTTCTAGGTATATGGAGTGGCCTAGACGGAAACGGTAGTTCTGGTTCCCATCAGCATTTTCCTCTTTACTTCTCTTTCAGCATCACAGATTTTGTTTCTTAGTTTGAGCACTTCTGGGCTTGGGTCCCTCTTATCTTTCCTGATCCTCCCCTAGGAATTGTGAGGTTCTTGGTAACCCCAGGGTTTAGGAATGGCTGCCACAGGAGGGGCCCTGCAGCATCCTGCTAAAATGAAGGCCAGCAGCTTAGCTAAGCCTCAGACAGTAATATCCCTGTATCTTTGTTTGATGGCACTCCCCAGCATGGTCTCTCCTTCCTTGAGGTCCTAGCCTTCAGTCCAGAATAAGACAGAAATTAAGAGAAGGGGGATATCTCCCATTTGTGCCATTGGTGGTATAAAAAGATGCCAGGCCTGGGACTTGTGTGAAAGACAGGGGACTCTAAATCTGAGATTTTTCATCCTATGGTTCAGTACATCCAGCAGCCAGGGAACCAGTGGGAAGCCCCTCCCTTTTCAGATGTTCTCTGTAATTTGGCTGGGTTAGACTACACTGGGCCTCAGCTCCTTGTTTGATTATGTATAGGGAATGGGGAATAGCAAAGCGTAGAGCTGCCCAGAGCCTGTGCAGGTGGACAGATTTGAATGAATGCACACAGGAAAAATGAATCCAGAATTGTTGGAGCTATGAGTTATGATCCAGGAAAAGGGCCTGGGACCTCTGAGACACCATTCTGAAGAGATTAGCTGCTGCAGCCCCCAAAAAAGTCAGCCAAATGCCAGGTAGTCCTAGGGAGAGTCTTAGAAACCATGGCCTTAATAAGCTGTCATTCTACCTTTGCTTCAAACCGTGGCCACTGATCCCGGGCATCCCTGATCAGCACACCTCACAAAAGGCATCGTGGACCTGGAGAAGGAATCAGTATTGGAAGACCATGGTGTTTAAAAAAAATAGTACCAGGGTCACAAAGACAAAAACAGTACCTGACTTCAAGGAGTTTATATTCTTCTGGGGAGGGAGGGCAGATGGCTGTTATTGTTCAGTCCTTTCGGTCACATCTGACTCTTCATGATCTCATTTGGGGTTTTCTTAGCAAAGACACAGGAGCGGTTTGCCATTTCCTTCTCTAGCTCATTTTGCAGATGAGGAAACTGAGATAAACAGGGTTAAGTGACTTGCCCAGGGTCATACAACTACTAAGTGTCTGAGGCTGGATTTGAACTCAGATCTTCCTGATTCCAAGTCTGGTGCTCTCTCCATAGCTGCCCCATGCCTTACTTTATGTCTCCATAAAATGAGGGAGAGGGTTCTTATCTGTCTACCCTGTGGTTGGCTGGGCGTGGGGGGCCATCCACATGTCCACGGATGGATTTGCTGACCTCCTGTTTTCCCTCTCTTATGCAGGCACTGACATGGCCGTCTTCTGTCTACTGTGCGGAAAGCGCTTCCAGACTCAGAGTGCACTCCAGCAACACATGGAGGTCCATGCAGGTGTTCGCAGCTACATCTGCAGTGAGTGCAACCGCACTTTCCCCAGCCACACGGCTCTTAAGCGCCACCTTCGCTCCCATACAGGTAAGCCCAAGACAGACGGGTTTGGGAACGGGAGCTTTCCTTGTTCGGGGGCCTACGCTAACAATTCTTATTTTGTGCCAGTACTCCAGGGACCCTTCAGCGTGGGAAGTCCAGGTGGTAGGACGGTATGGTTTTGCATAGAGTGTCTAAGGGAAATGAGGGTCAGGAAAACTGAGTCATTTTATGCATCTGGAAGTATCACACGTTATTTTTTTTTAAATGCTGTAAATGTTGAGCCATGTTTTCTTCTGAGAGTAGAGAGAGAAGAGTGGGGCTCAAGTTTCCCAGGATCCTGTAAGGACCAGTGACCCTAGTTTTGTGAAAGACTGTGCAATAATGAGGGGAAGCTAGGTGGCTCAGTGGATAGAATGCTAGAACTGGAGTCTGGAAGACCTGAGTTCAAATATGGCCTCAGACATTTCCTAGTTGTGTGACCCTGGACAAATCACTTAACCCTGTTTGCCTCAGTTTCCTCTCCTGTAAAATGAACTGGAGAAGGAAATGGCAAACTACTCCAGTATTTTTGCCAAGAAAATCCCAAAAGGGATCTTGGAGAATCAGACATGATTGAAAATGAGTAAACAACAGCAAGAAGATGCTCTTGATATATTATCCCCATTTTGCAGATGAGGACAGCAAGGCCCAAAAAGGGTATGTAATTTGGCTAGATGTCCCAGTCTGGAGGTGTCAGACTCAGCAGCAAAACTGAGTGCTACCCGAACCAAATTATAATATGATTGGGAAATATTTAACAAAATAAATAAAAATACAATAAGCCATAGGCAATGTGAACTTGTGATTTTCTAAGTCAACATGCAGCCTGTAGGCATCCATTTCTATTTGAGTTTGACACCGCTGTCCTAGTCCATTGTAGCTCTTTTGGAGACTTAAAATTTTTCCTAGAAGAAGCAAACCAGCCAATAATATTACAAGCAGTAGGTCTTTATTATAGGCGTATTTTACTTCACACAAGAAAGATGAATAAATGAGCCAATCAATGAACAAAAAAATCTCTACTTATTAAGCACTTAGACCGTATGTCAGGCACTGTGCTGAGCTGTGGAAATACAACTAGAAGCAACCAAGATTACCTCAAGGAGGTTACATTTGTAATGGGGGAAAGATAACATATTGAGGGGAGCTAAAAAGAGAATGTGCATAAGGCAGTGTGGTTTGGAAATGACTGGGAAATTTAAAATATCTAGGGAGTGTGAGAGGGGCAGCAAAGAAAGAGGGGACAAGAATACACCAGTATTAGGGGCAGCTAGGTGGCACAGTGGATGGAGAAGCGGCCCTGGAGTCAGGAGGACCTGAGTTCAAATCTGGCCTCAGACACATAACACTTACTAGCTATGTGACTCTGGGCAAGTCACTTAACCCCAACTGCCTCACCAAAAAACAAAGAAGAAGAAGAAGAATACACCAGTATCACAATCACCCAAGCCATAAGGATATAGCCAGAGGCCGGCATCTAGGATTTGAGTGACATTATCTTAAGGCTCTGGTGAGAAGAGGGAAGGGTGTTGATAAGCATTGGAGAGGTGCCTTCTGGGTCTGATGCCTAGGTTATGCCAAGCTCTCATCACTTTTCTGCAGTATAGATACTCCTAGGCCCTTGCCACATAGCAGTGTCACTCAGCAATCTGGAGGAAGGACAGATATTTCATGAGGAAGAAGGTAAGTTCTTAACTGAGCCTCATTGGTTTCTCAGAAGGGGGTGCCTCTAGAGCAGAGGTAGCTTGTTGCAAGAAAGGTCAGGCCTATAAAAACCAAAGTTTTTCTGGCCTGACATATCACGGTCACACAACTAATAAGTGTCAGAAATGAGCTTCAAACCCAGGCCTTCTTAACTTCATCCTTGGCACTCTATCCATTGGTCTATGATGCCTTTCAATGGCAGCAGAAAATCACAAGGTCAGTGATAACTGTATTATGACTGGGGATAGGCTACTCTGCCCAGCCAGTCAAAGCTAGAGCATTATAAACCCAGTCTTGTGAGAGTGTTGACGGGTCGATAGATCCAATCTTTTTTGGGGGGAGGGGATTCTCTCTTTAGGGCCTGTTTTGAAAAGATGCTCATTTCATGGTTACAGAAATCATAGGGCTTCATTCATGCCTTAAAAAAGCATGGATGATTCTTAAGGAACTAATTAGTGGAAATGATGGTACTAAATTTGTACTCTCTTTGTTCCCCTGCCCTGTCTAGGACATGACAAGAAGGTGCTTTCAAAAGTGGCATGTTTGAAAATTCTCATAGGCTCATGGTTCTGGAGTTGGAAGGGACCTTAGAAGTCATCAGGCCCAACCCCCTCATTTTATAAATAAATTGGAAGGAAAGTGACTTACCTAAAGTCATACATATAATGCAAAGGAGGGATTTGAATTTGGGTCCCATGACTCCAAATTTAGGGCTCTTTCTACTCTACTCCATTGTTTCCAAATAAGAAGGGGGGAAATGCCAAAGTGGGAGGAAGGAACAATTTTATATAGCCTTTCTTGCTCCATCTGTGATGCCTGCTGAATTAGGGAAGGGCTTGTATATATTAGAATGAGGAGATGGAGTTTTTACTCCATCCTTACCCCATTTCTCTGCTTTCTGTAGACAGTCTTCGCTGAATACAAACATACTTGCACATCTTCCACCCCCTGAGGTTGGATCCTTTGCAATTACTCTGTTTAACTGTTGGGATAAGAAGAGAGGAAGAAGTCTCTTTTTATTTTTTTTTTAAGTGTGTGTGTGTGTGTGTGTGTGTGTGTGTGTGTGTGCATGCACAATGTAAATATACTTGCATTAACAAAAGAAATGATGATCCTCCTAAGTACCACGGTTTAGAGTGGGTGTGAGGATGTACATTTAAGAGGAAAAGAAATTTCTCTGCTGTAAACACAGTCACATGAGCACAGTAAATACAGGGAAGTAGGGTAGGCCAGATGCATGAGTTAGTGAAATTTGGGGTAAGTAGCCTATAGGAAGGTTAGACGAGGAGAGACAGGATCAGATTAGCCCAAGGGGGCTTCTTCAGGGAACCTAATCATCATTAGTCTATTTTTCTTTCTCCCTGTGTCATTTACATAAAGAAGTTAATCAAAGGTAGCCCTTTCTCTTCCTTTCTCATGCTTAAGTATAAAAATATAGTATTGACGTCTAGATCTTTTTGAATTTAGCTCTTGTTTTGTCCTTCATTTTTGAAAAGGATCAATGAATTTAGCAATATATGAACATGTCTGTCTCTTATATGGGCTCTTATATCTTTATGGTTTTGAAGTTACACACGTGTACATGTCCCCCATCTGACTCGGTATATATTTGTCTATGTGTGTGTCTCTATGTCTCGGTCAGTTTTTTCTCTGTATTATAAAAATTGAGAGGTCTGCTGTTTTCCTGGGACTTGTATTCAAGATGGCACAGAGAACTTTCCAAGATTTATTAAGCCAGATGACTGACTACTACACGTATCTTGTGATTCACATGGGCACAAATGATCCTGCCAGAAGAAATCTAGAAAGCATTTTTTAAAATTTCATGTTTTTCCCCAATTCCATGTAAAAACAATTTTTAACATTCGTTTTTTAAAATTTTTGAGTTTCAAATTCTCTCCCTCCCTTCCTTCTCCCCCTCATTGAGAAAACAAGCAATTTTCTATAGGTTATATGTGTGCAGTCATGCAAAATATATTTCCACGTTAGTCAATTGTAAAAGAAACACAGACAAAAAAAAAACTCAAGAAAAATAAAGAAAAAGTATGCTTCAATCAGCATTCAGAATCCATCAGTTCTTTGTCTGGGGATGGATAGCATTTTTCATCATAAGTCATTTATAATTGTCTTGGATTGTTGTATTGTTGAGAATAGCTAAGTCATTCACAGTTTATTAGAAAGTATTTTTAAAGATTACAAAGTCTTGTGCAAGAAACTGAAGCCCATAGGGACATGGGTGGTGTTTTCATCACCGCCACCAGGCAAAGGCAAGGTATTGGGAAGGGGAAATGCAGATTTTGAAAGTAAACAGCTATCGATAAAAGATGATTCGGAGGAGAGGATTTTGCTTTCTGGACCATGACTTAAAATATAGCAGTGTCAGGCTCCTGGTGAGAGATAGAGTTTACCTAACATGACTGCTTAGAGTCCTGTGAATCTAATCCAAAGGGTTTTAAACTGAAGAGGAAGAGGGGAGAAGGAAACTGCCTGTGTATAGTATATCTACCAAGCTTAATGCCAGTAGTTACACTGTAAAAAATGTCATTTGAGTTGTCAATAGTTACACTGTAAGAAAAATATTAATCTTGCAGATGCCCAGAAATTCACAGGAGACAAAATTCTAAGAAAGGAGCCATCACTGAGACCCATTAGCTCAGATATGTATATGGGAAGCCACAGAGTATGAGTAACATGATGAACTGAAGATCCAAATAGAGGGAGAAGAATTTGATCCCCACAGGAGTACTGAGGTTTGGTGGGATGGGACCCATGAGTGAAATATGGTTCTGGAAAAGTGTCCTTTATTCAGATAAAACAGAATAGGTAAAAGGAGATGGAATAAAGTTATTAAGAAGAGATACGCCCATGAAGAAATTCAGAAACTGGGAGGAAGCATGGTAGAGATCAGTGGAGGCAGAAACAGAAGTGAAAATGTTAGAGGTGTGTGCTGCTAGACCACCTGGATAGAAAAAGGAAATAATGAGTTTAGGAAATAGGTCATATCCCTGACATAGAGGCATGGTTGACTTCAGTGATTTCAGTTATTTGGGAGTAATCTCTCTCTCTCTCTCTCTCTCTCTCTCTCTCTCTCTCTCTCTCTCTCTCTCTCTCTCTCTCTCAGCAACTAATGATTTCTTGACTTCCTTGATGAGAATTCTATCCTTTTAAAATATAGTATCGAACAAAGGAAAAGTTTGTTCTGTATCTTATTTTCGCCAAGGAGAAACTTGTTGCTGAAGTGAAAATGATGAGAAATTACTGGGGAAATGGCCACTTACTTTGTCTTTGAATCTGTGATAGAG